ACCCGAAACCTCCTTTGATTCCTCACCATCATTGTTCCCTGTTTCTCTCTCCCTCTGGAATACACCTGGTCTTACGTTGTCTGCAGCTTCACTTGGTCGTCGTGGTTGGAAAGTGTACTACGCACGTTTGCGTGATCTGGTTCTCTACCTGTACAAAAACGCCATGGTCGCGAATGCAGCTGCTCGAGCGGAAGAATTGCACAATTTGCACCAACAACAACTGCAACAGCATCATAATTGTTTGCGTCAACTGGCTATGCAACAACAGCAGCAACATCAACGATTGGTCATAATGCATCCGCCAGAGCAACCGGAACAGAAAGAGGAAGAAGAAGAGGAGGAGGAGGATGGTAGCGGTGGTGGAGTCAAAGATGTGCGAACGCATGAAGAATCCGAGAATCCGTCCGGCGCGGAACAGATGAACGGATCAATGAATCCCAAAGCGGAAAGAGAGGATAGTTCGGTGGTTTCAGATTGCCCCACATCGTACGAGACACAAGAACCGGTCACGTCCCCTCCCACCAAAGAAACAGCTCAATCAACCGTTTCACTCAACTCTGAGACGAAAGCGGAACTGAACGGGTCAAACAAAGAGATGAACGAATCGAATGTTAGGTGAGTGCCATTGTATTCCTCTCGTTATCCGATATCTCAGTCATTTTCTTGAACACAACGAAATTGTTGAATGGTCTCAAACAACTGGCAAGCTCTCCGTTCTGTCCAATAGTAACTTTGTGGTCTCCCCTTTTCATTGATCAGTTGTTTATTCGCAATGGCAGCAATGGCTGTTGACTTATGTTCCGAGTATGGTTGGGTGTCGCAAACACTGGCGCTCATGCATCTACTCATTATTCTTGTAACATCAATCCGTAAGTTCTTTATGTTCCGCTTGAATTTGCTCTCAACATTCTAATCTTCATTCTGCTGTTTTATCCAAATGGGCTACCAAAACTGTCGCACGAAAATGCATGGTTAACGGGTGGTAAGAACTGAACTGAACTGAACTGATGTTCCGGAGCACCCTTCTCCGNAGAGTTAGTCCTGTGGACGTTTTTTTAGAAACAAAGGCATGCGCACTGCTGGAGAGTCCCGGTGGGGACCAAATAGTTGTCCATTGTTCGTTATAAACTATCACACAATTAAGTGGGGTGGTGGTAGCGCGGTAGTTTAGTCGCTGTCACCGGCGTGCTTTTCACTGTGTAATTAGAAGTTCAAGCCCCGTCACCTAACTTTGGTGGTAGGCAGCTTTGTTGTCGTCCGGTTCAATACCACGCCCAACCCAGCGGGGCTTCATGTGATTCGCCACTTCAAGTCCCCCGGGGCTTAATGCATTACCGTAGTGAACTAGTTCTCTATTGAAAAAAGTTTATTCCGCCAGTCGTTTTAGAGTAGACGCATAGTTCACTTTCGTTTCGTATCTGTTGTTATCAATGCCAGTCGATAAACGATTTCCATACCGTCAATGTCATCTCATTTAACTTTTTTGTATTACACACCCGCGGTGTGATGAACAGCAGACGAGGTGAACGCCTTAGTTTTCGAGGACCTACTCATGGAAACCGGGATCTTCGGAATGGCAAGCCACTAACATAGCTGTACGATAACCAGGCTGCGTACCACAAGATCGAATCGAACAGTTAGCATTGTTTACTTCTAGATCACAGTTGATGTGCGTGTGTGTTACTAACAGGTTGGCCACTAAATTTACATAGCCCGGAATATCGCCCCTGTTTGTTTAATCTGTTTCACACTGTGCACTACAATGAAAGCGCACGTTTTATTTTGCACTGCTCTGAGAACTCGCCTGTTTTTTTTTGCCGGTTTAGGCAAAGGAAGAAGTTGGCTAACTTGATGCATTCTCTTCTTTACCCAAATTTGCATCATTCGATCTATCCAGCATTCTTGGCTGAATCACTTATAGCCACTAGATACTTTCTAGCAATGCGCTACTCAGTTGGCCTGTTCTCATTCGCCCTCGGGCAATTTCACTGCATCCGCACTTAGATTAAGCCGTTCATCAGCATCGGACATTGTACTGATGCTTCTGACTTGGCTGTCAAAAGTCCATTGTCTGGCACGTTCGCTTCTGTTTCCCGTTCTCTGTTTGACATGAACGTCCCACTGATGAACTCCGACTACTTCGTTGTCCTCCTCCTCCTCCTCACTCTCTGTCCATTCACAAATAACTCCATTCGTACCTGCGGGAGCAGACAACACGATGACTCATCCTGCAATCCGACTTGCTTGGTTCATTCGGGTCAACTAGGGGAAGTCTATCGTAGATCAAGTTGAGCCCAACAATATGTGATTGACGTTCACGTTCCTATCTGGCCGTACTGCTACTACGACGTCTTCCCGTTTGTGTGTGTGTGTGTGTGTGTGTTGGTTTCCGTTTATCCGGTCCATGTACTCGTGGACTTGTGCACCGTATCCGACTTAGTTTTTTGTAGATTGAGTTGAAGAACTGTTACGGTCCACGCTGGGTCGGGAAATGTCCCACGTAATAAGCTGTGGAATCCAAGGGAACAGTTTGTGTTTCGTTTCGCCGAGAAGAGCAACCTGTCACAGGACCCCCGGTCAACGAGTGATAAGTGGTTGTTATTATTTTCGCTCCTAAATTCTTCCGCATATTTCGTCCTCATGGCACGCACAAATCACTCACCGGTCAAATCCAACATTGTACAAGTGCACACGATTCAATCAAAGCTCCAAGCCACAGGATTGCTCAGCTTGGTGACACGAAAATTCAAAATCCAAGCAAATCACCACAGATGTTTAGTAATCAAATGATTTTCTCAGGACTACTGTCACTAAACTCCTAGTGTTATCACTCAGAGCAACAACTTCCGGTCACAAAGAATTTCATACACCTGATAGAATACGCCACATTACGGTTACTCCTAAATCTTGCTATCTTGCCTTGATTCCATAGCAGTTCCTCATAGTCATGCTGTTCGTTCTACGTGATCAGTACTAAACAATCCATGCTCAGACGACAATTCTGGTTTATCTAAAATGGCTCTCAATTTCACTGTGTAGCACTGATCTTGGTTGCTCTCCTAATTCCGTACCGCACTGCGCGCACCGTATCTGTTCTCTACAAATCGCTTGCAGTAATGCATCACTACTTACATATGAAAGTCACGCGGAACAGAAGTTGGAAAGCCATGAATCACTGAGACACCTTTCGTTCAATCACCGATCCATTCTCAGAAACAAATACGTTAATCCCTGTGGCTGTTTGTGATCATACGTGCAGTCCACCTGGATCTCCTCTTATTCACACTTCCTGGCTGTTTTTTTCCTATTCATGTAGAAGGCGTGAGCCAAGGAAAATTAATGATTGATTTATCTTTATTGGAGGCCTCTCCAATTTTGTTCTGTTTCACCACGTGCACCCACAGGAGAATCTTCTGTATTCGATTGGGCAGTCACATTTGGTTTTGCATGTCGAGGTACGGTCCAGAAAAAGTCTTTTTACCTTTTGTCCACTAACCCCGTATCTTTTGCTAATATTCATTCCGCTCGCGTAAGTTGAGTTTGGGTGCATGCCCGTTCTCTCTATGCCTAAAGTCATCCGTATATGGCGGATCTGAAATGATTGTTTTGTTTTTCTTTATCTCCTGTGAATATGATCATCAGCATCATTGTACAGCGAAATACAATGAGGCGAACTTCGCTGATCACACTGCCACTTTCGCGATGCATACATGGTTAGTGGTATTATGTAGAGCGGACAGAGGTTGGACCTATTTTGAGAGGGGGGGAGAAAGTGGACCACTATGTTAAACACAGAATACATAATGGAACTACGCATACATACCATTTCAGGCATTCTAGCTTGATAAGAAATGACAACAAGAACGCCACTGATATCGGTCTAGTTCCATGTACTTAAGTGTCTCCAACCAACAAGTTGCAGAATATTTCGGACCCAAACCTGGATGACACGAGACATCTACTCTACCTAATGGCTCTGTATATTTCTACATGCCTTGTCTCCACGTCATCATTTGACCTCCACGTGGTTTCCTCCAGTCCGAATTAGCTTCAACGAATAAAGCGCGGTGCCGCAGATGATAATTCGGCATAAGCAATACATGCCCCAGCCAGCGAACTCTACTAATGTAAATTCTGTGTGCTAGCAGGTTTATCCCTGATAGACTCCCAAACACACGAGGACTTACCTCTGGATTACTTACCGGTTCGGTCCATCCCACGTGGTCCAAACTACGTAAACACCGATAATCGAAAACTTCTAGTCGCTGGATATCTTCTGCTTGTAAAATTCAAGATCTCAACCATAAAGAAGAACTGAACGAACGGTAGCACAACAAACACGACGTTTCGACTTGAGTGAAACGTGTCGTCTAC